TCCCCAGAGACATGCAACATTTTGGGAACAAAACGTAACAAAATAGTAGCGTTGATACGGTGATGTGTATTTGCAAAAAGCAATATTATTTCCTTCAATAAAGAATATTCATCCTGCTCTAACCGAGAAATAATCTACTCAGTCTGTTTGAACCCATTAAAAACATAAAAAAATTAGGCTACCGGTATTTAAGAATACGAAAAATTTAAGCGCCTGCCTTCCATGGTCAGTCTTTCATGTACATTTAAGTTTGCAAAGACCTAATATTAAATACTTGCATAATTTCGAACGTTCATATTTCAGGAAACAATGAGCTAAGACTTACATGTAAGATGTCTAAATCTACGCCATATCCCCACAGGGGGCAGAAAAGTACGATTGTGTTTATTTAAAATACCTTGTCATCAACCAATATATCGCATAGTTTCATCCAGGTTTCATCACGATGAAAATTATGTTGATTTTCGATAATATCATGTCTACTACTTCATGTAATTCAAACATTGTATTACAAGGACTGACCATAGTAGCGTGGGCTCATACTAGAACACCCTCGGCATCCCTTCGTAAGATGTTCGGAAATAGTCGTTGCAATGCAATATGTTTGAATTGCATGAAGTAGAAGGCATGATATTACGAAAGTCACCGAACTGTGGAATCGCATCAAAAATTCGTATATCGACCACTCCCACAAACGTCTACGACCACGCCTACATTCGACTACATAGTTTTGTATGTTTACAATTCTAATTTTGAACAGCCAATCAGGTTCTTGGTAATTGGCTGTTTAAAATTAGAATTGTAAACGTGCAAAACTATGTAGGCGCGGTCGTAGACGTTTGTGGGAGTGGTCGATATACGAATTTTTGATGCGATTCCACAGTTCGGTGACTTTCGTAATATTATCGAAAAAATAAAAATCAGCTAATTTTGATCCTTTTATGACTGTCTGCGGATTGTTGTGATATAAATATGGGATATTCGTTGATGACAAGGTATTTATAAAACACAATCGTACTTTTCTGCCCCCTGTGTATCCCTTACAAACCTTAACGATAATTCGCTGAAATACAAGTTAGCCTAATATGTCATTAAGCAAACAAACGCTGGAGTTAATATTTGATATGCCGATTTTCGCTAATTTTAGACACATTCCAAAATATGCTCCCCATTTTTAACATTAATATATCCGTGAATTTTTAAGTTAAATACAACTGTAATATATCAAAATCTAAGTTAGTCCTTCCTCTATTTAATGCAAGTTATTTCTCTTTAAAAACTTTACTTGTTTAGAAGTTATTACGAATCAAACAGGAGTACTTTTCTTTGGGCCACCCGGTACTACAAACAATATATATACACCCACAAACATACATACATACAAACATACATACATACATACATACATACATACATACATACATACATACATACATACATACATACAAACAAACACAAATTAAAAATTTTATAATTATTAGTAATGTCACTTTGAAAATGATTAACTACTTCCTAATAAAATCCATACAGTAAAAACGTTTATATGCTGATTTAAACAAGCCCAAATTGTCTAAAACTATTAACTACTTTCTAAAAATCCATGCAATAAATGACTTTTATATTCTAGTTTAAACCGGTCCAAAGTGTCAATGTCTTTAATATGATTTGGGAGCTCATTCCAAATAGACACTGCGCGATAATGAAACGTTCGCTGTCCAGAAGCCGAATTATAAAGTGAAATGCCTAACTTATCCTTATTTCTGGTAGCTAACCCTTTCATGCACTTAAATGTCATAACCGCATCCGTGAGTTTTAACATACACATAACTGGAAGCCAAGCTAACTGCTGAAGGTAGGCGTCACATGGTCATATTTTCTGATTCCCAGTAATAACGCGTGCCGCGAAGTTCTGCACGCTTTGGAGTTTTGATATGTTCTTTTTCGAGGTGTTCGACCAAACGGAGGAACAATAATACATTTTACTGAAGACCAATGCATTTATAATAAGGGGTAAAGTGTGCTTGTCGAAAATATGCTTAACTCTGTTGATTTGGCATAATTCAGTGATACATTTTGAGACGGTGTCGACAATATGTTTGTCGTAATTCAAACTTGAATCCAAAGTCATTCCCAAATTTTTAACTGTCTGAAGTGGGATTATTTTCTCACCAAGAACAGTTATATGGAAATCTGTGCCAGAGCGTTTTTTCAGCATTTGACTTGTACCCAGTAACAGAAGTTTCGTTTTCTTTGGATTCATAAGCAAACTATTTATACAGCACCATGCGATAATTCTTTCCATATCTTGTGTAAGTTTAAACGCAGCAGTTTCAACATCCTGAATTGGAAATGCCAGATAGATTTTCGAATCATCCACATAAGATTCCAAAGAGGACTCTTTTGGAACATTGGGCAGGTCATTAATATATATGTTAAATAATGCCGGCCCAAGAATAGATCATTGAGGTACCCCTCGAGTTATAATACATGATTCCGACAATGTCGACCCAATATGTATACTATTTGGCTTCGTCCCGATAGATAACTTTTAAACCATGCCAACACTGATTTAGACACACCAATGGTTTGAAGTTTCACTAGTTGAATTGAATGATCTATGCTATCAAATGCTTTGGATAAGTCTATTAAAACTAAGGCCGTAACTTCTTTACGATCCATAGACTGCAAGATTTGATCTGTTATAAAAACGTTTAATGTTTCTAAGTAACTGCTACCTGCTATATATTACTATATTTATTACTATATTGTTATCTGGAAATGAATTGTTTTATAAGAAAAAACAAATTGTCCAAATATTGTACCACCATGCATGATTATCCAATATCCAGTTTTATTACACTGTAGTCGCTGCATGCGTTTTTATTAGTTAATAGCTTCATAACTCAGTTATCTGCTAACAGATAACTGAGTTATGTGCAAGTTCAGCCAGCGGTATATAATTTATAGCAAGAAGATAAAACAACATGAACGAACGGCATTTTCGTGAATGTTTTTTGTGCAAAAAGCAGACCCTTTTGGACTATTTTTATCGGAACTTTGTAGGTAAATGAGATTTGTAATATTATGCTGTTATTGTGATATTTTAAATCGTTTTCACTACGTATTTTTGAGAACCAAACGTTGTTCGTGCGACAAATCGTTTTCTGATATCCAGAATTATCAATGTCTCAATAAGTCGGGGTTCGTACAAAACTTGAAAGTCCTTGAATGCCCTTGAATTTGAAAACAAACATTCAAGGCCTTGAATGTTCTTGAATTTATAAAGAAGTACTTGACAGACCTTAAATTTTTCTTGCTTTAGTTTTTGGATATTTTCTGAATTTGTTTGACATTCAAAACGGACCATTTAATTTTGTTGAATTAATTTTGCATATTCATATCTGACAAAGGTGTTTGAAACTCATTAAAGTTGCGTTTTGAACAATTCAACGTCAGATTTGAACCCCTTTTCTTCAGTATTTAGTCCTTGAATTTGCTGATACATGACCTTGAATGTCCTTGAAAAGTCCTTGAATTTGACACTTCCTCGCATGTACGAACCCTGGTAACATCGACCTTGATAATTGTGGATATCACAAAAACCTCATCCAATAACTGTTTAATGTTATTATGTTATTCCCCTGACTGGTATCCGGTATATCTGACAAAGCAGTATCCGGCATAACCAAAATGAGCTGATATAGTGAGTTGCTTAGGACATCTTGTGCCTTAATTTGCATGTGTTGCATTTGTCTGCTAGCACAATTAGACAATCAACTGATTTTCTAAATACAATGTGCTAGTTCTAATTATATTGTCCAGCAAGGCAAGGTAGTGTAAATGCTGGGGGAGGTAAGCAATTTTCAGCCACCCTGAGATGTGGGGGCCCAGGCATATCCCAACACAGGTCACTAAACAACATGGCCCCAAAAAGACACATTGACCTATTGTAAGGTGCAATTATAACTTGCAAGGTCCAATTTTTCTGATTTAGATTCTTGTAAAGCTGTTTGCTGCTGGTGTGAATCCTGTGGATACCTACATCAGGAGTGGTACATTTGCCAGGAAGCCAACCTTGCCTTATACCCCAGGTGCTGATGGTGCTGGTATTGTCAAGACTGTAGGAGACGGTGTATCTGCATTCAAGGTATGACAATTAATGGACAAGATGGCATGGTAGCAAAATTAGTTCCTGCATGCGTGTGCATTATCATTGACATTGAACCTGCAATGAAGTAGATATGAGGTGATTAATCGGAAAATAATCGGCATAGTAATTAATCGGCCATTTTGAAATAATCGGTTACCGGCCGATTATTGCACAATAATCAGAGAAATAATTTATCATTCTCATGACGTTACATTTATTCATTTTACCTTTTTTTCTCTGTCCGCAGTGTTAATTTTAATATTAAACTAAAACTTTGATGAATACCTTGCAGTATATTCTCGTTGATTTTACACAAAGTTTTTTTTCTGTTGTTTGAGGAGAAAAAATGTAAACGAATTTATTAACGTAATGCTGGATTGACGACTAGCAACACGATAATGGTAATCGATTACCGCCCTCTTCAAATAATTGGCCTCAGTAATCTGCAAATTTTGTGATAACTCATCAAATTTTGTCATCGGTTAAAAAGAACACTCTGATACCTTTGATCTGATCAACAAGTAGCAAGGGCACTTCCGCCCCCCCCCCCTCCCCTCAACAACAACAACAACCCCCAGAAGTCATACTGAAATTGTAATATTTATGCTTGCGGTGCTTTGCAGTGAAAAATCAGCACAACGTTTATCGGATGAGCTTATTTATAATCAACTCTTAATTTTGCAACGCTTGTCTGCAAATATTGATAAAGCGCTTTAGGCTACATTGTATATGATTGTATACATATGTGGACTAATGTAAACCACTTTAAAATATAGCCAGTTTTCTTAATCTTTTAAAGGAAGGCGACCGAGTGTATGTGCATCAGTTTGGTGCAGGAACATATGCTCAGTTTACAGTTTGCAATCAAGAGAATGTGCATCAACTTCATCCTATGTTGACGTTTAAGCAAGGAGCAGCACTGGGAGTGTCTTACCTGACTGCGCATCGGGCTTTGTTTCATAAGTATGTTATATCAAGGGGCTGTTTATTTGGTGTCGAGGAAGCCAAATTTCACACGTGTTGATACGAGACTATTCAGGCAGGCTGTGGTTAAAACAATTAATGCATCCGTGCTGAGCTATAATAGGCAGCTTAAGCAAGCGACGTTTTTGTCAACACGAACGTCAGATTGCCGAGGGGGGACTGGATTAAAAACTGTGTTTGTATCACTTTGTGGTAATCTTCAACACATGTCACAGTTACCCACAAAAAGTTCTCAGAGACCCGTTTTAATTTCAAATTCATTCTGTCGAGGAAATGTACATTTACAACATTGATTATATTCACGTAAACAAAACATTAATACTCAACCGGACTAGGCGAGCCAACCTCATGATCACCTGGGATCACGTGATAAATGCAATTTTGAAAAAAATTCACATTGTTAGTTAAGTATGTGAATTTTTGTACTGCGAGGAAGAAGTTTCGTAAATTTTGAAAGTAATATACCTTACCATACCACATAATTTTACAAACGCATCTTGCCAACTTCGCTTTGCTTCCAACGACAATAACAAACACCGGGTCTTGCCCAAACCAGGCCAGCTACCTGGCCTGTCTCGACCCATATAAACAGACACTAATTACTGCTGAGTGCGATATTTTTAAAAGACGTTTTTGTTAGAGTTGTGGTATGTTGGCAACTTATATTGAAACCCTAACTAACAAAACATTCGTTTTCTTTTAAAGACTGCACGTGAAGCCAAAGGAGACTATATTCATACACGGAGCCAGTGGTGGAGTAAGTACAAGACAAATTTGTATTCAACACAGTTTAGGGGCAGCCTTGACCATGGTCAATAGAATAAGAAGGTTAGGGAACTCGATGCAGACATAATAGACCTCATTATCTATGTTTTTGTCTGGTTTATTAGCCATTCTGTAATATCACGACTGGGTAAAAAAAACACACTGCTATTGGTTGGTTGGGCAAAAAAAAATACACACGCGACAATGAACCGACGACCATTTCTTGCATTAAAAACCAAGACAAAAACATAGATAATGAGGTATATTATGTCTGCATCGAGTTCCCTAACGTTATTCTGTTGAATAGACCTAGGGCCTTCACTCGGCAGGTGATTCGCAGGTTAATCGACTTCATGACCTCGCGAGGCGGAATGCCCTGTCAAAGATAATAACCACAAGTAAATTGCACATTATTTTAAAGCCAGTATATAGGATTTTGCTCAATCCTTCTTGCCTTTATTTATACCAAGTTGTTATTTGTCCGGTCAGCAGAAACAAAAGCTTAGGCTATTTGTCCGTGAATTAATTTGATTGGTTCATTTAAATGACAAGCGGTTGTTTTCACACAATAAAACCAGAACCTTGCCCACACCTAACCCCTTCCCTAACCCTAAGCCCTAACCCGAACACATTCGATCCCCGGAGCTAGCGCGCACAAGGCGAGTGCCTTAACCACTTGACTACCGAGGACTTGCTTGAAAAGTAATGACATTTTACTCGGCATCATTCTAGCAAGTTGACAGAAAGAAGAAATGATTGAACCAATCAAATTAATTCACAGACAAATAGCCAAAGCTCGTTGGTTTCCGTGACCGGAAAAATAACCACTTCCTTATTTATATGGGACATTTTCACTCAATACTAGGCAAGACTATTTGGCCCCTTCTCATATAAAAAGAAAAATATATATAGTGGAAAATTTAAAAATATACCTTTAGATTTCGCTGAGGATGGCCAGCACGTCATATGTGCTCATAAGTATTCTCTTTAGACTATAATCAAACACCGAACAGTACTGTTATGTGACACCAAATTAAAGTTACTAATTTCAATGATCTTATATTCTGAAGGTTGGTGCAGCAGCAGTACAACTTGCTAGAGCTCACGGGATGCGTGTTCTTGGTTCTGCAGGAAGTGTCGTAGGAAGTCAGGTAGTTAACGAAGCTGGAGCTCACGAAGTGTTTAATCACAAGGAAAATGGCTATTTAGATAAAGTTATGGTAAGGATTAGTGTGTAGATGTAGTTTGTTTCTAACCTTAAAAGCCCTTGTCCTTTTTCGTTCTAGGATTTCTGAGCGTCGTACGGTCTATTTCATTGTACTTCGCTCGTTTATGGAGGTTAGAGAACTTCTTGATATCTCGATGCTTCTTTTAAAATGATGTTTCACTATTGCTTGCTTGTTGTCCTCAGCAGAGTAGAGTGTAAAGTGGGTTTTCTAAATGGGGTGATAGATCATCTGCTAAAAAATGTTTTCTGAGCATCCCAAGCTAAAGTCTCTGGTTTAACGTATGGCTGGGATCGCCCAATCGAGGCACTCAGAAATACCATGCACACACACGGGATATCCAATCCACAAATACCATGAGTTAACTGTTGACATTGATGATTAAGGGACGATTTTCCACTGGCACTGAATTTCCACTAAAACTAAAATTAGATTCTCTCATGGCGGTGGAACTTGTAAATAATTTTTTGTCGTCTGCACTCTTTTTCTAAGGCGGCAACTGAAAACAGGGGAGCTGATGTGATTCTGGAGAATCTAGCCAATGTTAATCTGGAGAATGACTTGAAAATTGTGGCTGACCATGGCAGGATAGGGGTAAATATCGCTTACTTACTGTACATGTGGAAATTAACCGACACAATGGATAGAATTATCGAAAATTTTCGATTCTAAATGCAAAAAAATGCATTGTACTTTTTTATAATTGTAATTTTTTATAATCACTTAAAATACTCATTAATAATTAATAAACCTTGTGGCAAACCATGTCAGCCATAATATGTCACGTGGAGTGACTTTATATCTGATAAAACACATGTGGCATTATATAATTGTTCATCTTAATATAGCATGATTATATTATGGTTCATCCTAATTAGTATTCTTTTGTAGTCGTATTTTAAGCTATTCAAAACACTCGTCGTCGTGTTTTATCAGATATAACACGCTCGGCTGCGCCTCGCGTTTTATATCTGATAAAACACTCCTACTCGTGTTTTAAATAGTACATATTATTATATTTTTCAAAAACTCTTCATAAAGGTTGTTGGAAGCCGTGGTTCGATTGAAATAAATCCACGTTTAATGATGATGAAAGAATCGAGTATTATTGGTGTAATGCTGTTTAAAGTCTCTCAGGTGTGTAGAAAATTTCGGTAACGGAATTCATATTGCGGTGGCCATGCAGGCATCGCTGTATATTCGCTGCGTGAGTTTGGTGGTCTGTTAGTTTGTTAGTCTCCAGTTTCTTCGGAATATTAAAGCCTTCACTACTTGGTGTTTATTCAAAAATAGCATGTCTTCACGCTTATGGTGCACTTGTTTTGCACATTCTGCACTTGTCTTCGAAAAACTATATATAACCGTCATACCGGTACCAAAACTCTAAACGTTCCTCTTTCCTTTACCCATTATAGCTAGAAAATCTGCCTGAACTATCTTCATATATCTTCATGTATAGTAATATGGAGCTCGTGCGCGCGTTGCTAATCCATGTACACTGACATTCAAAGGGAAGTGATTCCTCATTCTACACTCCCACAGCTTTTAAGGCGGATTTTCATTCGGTGCAAAATGTTGCGCGATCGACTTTTTGCGATCGCTTTTTTTTGAAATACAAACAGTCGAGCGGAAAAAATCTCATTAGCTGTAGTTGACTGCACCCATTTGACAAGAAAGCGATCGCAAAAAATCGATCGTGCGACATTTTGCACTGAATGCAAATCCACCTTTACACTCTTCCCCTATCGCCTCTCTCTATCACCGAATATCGTTCACATTGTGTCGAAATGTGTTCAAATTTTCTAGTTTTTCGTCTAACGTTTCATCACCTTTTATTTATTTTTACAAAATAGCCCCCGCCAGCTTAAATTTATTTAAAACAAGACGCTCTGTTGAGCGTTTAGTCGCTGGGGTTATTAAAATAAGGTCTTCTGCGCAGGGCTTCTGCGCTTATTGCTCTCTCTTCTGAGAGCAGTGTATAAGCGCAGAAGCCCTGGGTACGAGGTTGATTTCCATGAAAATGAGCGACTATACTTCCTATAGATAGCAATGCCTACCATGCATAGACAATCGAGAGGAATTAGTACCTGCACAAGCATGCGTTAAGAGCTTCGGCTCATTAATTTTGAGACGTCACATAGAGAAACATAACTAATGTTACCTTTCTCAAACTCTCTTCTCAGTAGGACTTCTTTATGTTGGTATATAGAGTGAAATTGACGAAGCGACTACGAAGTTTCGCAAATTAGCAGAAGATGGATCGTTAAAACCAATAGTCGGTAAAACTTTCAATCTGGTAGATGCATCTCTAGCTCATAAAGAAATAATAGAAGGAGGTTGTGCCCAAGGAAAACTTGTGCTGGAAATTGAATGAAAATACTGATAGTATGAACATGATCTCTTATGTTCATGTAAGGTGTCTTCTTTACCCCACACCAGACTATACGCTTTATAATTAGCTGAATTACCTTACGGGTAAAAAATAGAAATAATAAACGAGATGTGAGATACACGAATTTACTTTTTCTCTGCAGTGTCATATCTCTGAGTGGATGGTTATATAATAGATTGTTAACTCTCAAGAAGAAGTAAATTTAACCTCTCCCCTAAATTAAAACATACATGTAGAATGCCACATGGTAGCCCATGCATACCAGCTATTGAATCAACGTTTTTATGAATTTCGTTTTGTAACATTTTGCTTTCAAAAAGTATATCTTAACAAATGTATCTTTATATAAACATATATCTTCTTGTTTGCGTCCGTATCGGGGTATGAAGCTGAAATCTGTGTACATTTCATCGGATATATAATTGTACTTATCAACGAATAATTAATGAGGTCATTGGATTTCTAAGCAGTTCCATTTGTGCAAAGTGTCTTGTAGACCCCTTCGTGATAAACTCCTTTAATTGTGATTGGTTTTCCTGACCGATTGTTTCGCTTGGCCTACGTGTCAATAAACTCCTCTGGTGATCCAATGGTTAACATTTTCTGCAACTACTTGTGATCCCTCAATAGTTATATTAAATTATCTCATGTTTCTCGCGAAGAGCGAAGATACAGTCAAGCTTTGGGATCACCTTTTGAGCTGATACGGTGGTTAATATTTCAACTTCTGAAAATCGATATGTATTGTCCTGTTGAAAGTGGACCATGGAGCTCGATTTTAACTTTATCCCAGGGCTGGTCGAGCATTGGAGATTCTTAGGGTATTCTTAAAAACAGTAGGCAATTCCAGCTTTTAAATTATGCGCGTAGGGGATGACGGGAAGTAAGGTATCATATTGCTGATTAATACTGAAAAATTTCAATAAAACATGCCGAAACAACCGAAATATTTCAATACTTACAAGTACAAGCTGTCACTCCGTGTTTACACGGTCGCCATTTTTATTTTTTCAGCATAATCAGCAATATGATACCTTACTTCCCATCGCCCCTGCACGCATAAACTAAAAGCTGGAATTGCCTATTGGCGGTCAGATGGAAAGTTAAGTATATAACACACTCTAGAACATTTTCACCTTAACATATTACGGAGTGTACAATTACACAATTCAATATATATATATATATATATATATATATATATATATATATATATATATATATATATATATATATATATATATATATATATATATATATATATATATATATATATATATATATATATATATATATATATATACATGTGAGAACGTCTGATTGGTTGATGGATTTCAGTATGTTGGTTGCCATTAGTTACTATCGAATGCGGGTGATTATTGTTATCATGAGACGGTATAGGGAAGGAAGTTGAGGGTGGGTTAAAGGTTAATGAAGATGAATTAGGAGATTTGTGAGAGCGTTTCAGTTGTAAGTAAATTGTAGGGATGTCAATGTGACGGTTAAATGTTTGTTTGTCTAAACTATGCCACGCTTCTTTTAAGTTTAAAGAAGCGTGGCATAGTTTAGACAAACAAACATTTAACCGTCACATTGACATCCCTACAATTTATTCATTGACATCCTTATAATTTATTCATGCAACAAGCAATCATCAGGCAACATATTAATACGGTTAAGTTGTTGCGTTTTACTACTCGCAATGTTTGCTGACGCGTGTTCGTTTGAATCGTCCCGCGTGGAATCTGCGCGCATGCACGCATTTCATGAAAATTTCGCTACGTTTATTTAAATTAGACCGAGAATTATAACTACGGAGTATTTGAAATTTCTCTTCTAAACATAAATTGCAACTATTTCCACCGGCTTTGATTGAACTTGCTCGGGATAAGATGGACCACTTGATATTAAATTGTTTTCTATTTAGTTTTAGTTTCCAAACATGTTTAGAAAGTTCAGTTTCATTCTCGTATTTAATATCATTGAATGATTTCTTGTGATTTCTGTATCTCTCCTTAAATGTTGTCGCTGTCATACCAATGTAGGATTTTATATCGTTGTTGTTTTTCGTTTTTACCTCGGCTTGATAAACTAAATCTTTCGTCAAGCACATGTTGTTAAGCGGGCATTCGTTTACATTTCTGCAGTTACAAAGTTTTTCAATGTTGTTATCGTTGGTAGATTCTTCGGATTTAGATTCTCTCAATACGCGTTTGTTATGTCTCGATATGACGCTCTTTACATTATTCATACAGCTATAGCTAACTTTGATCGTGTTTCGGTTGAAGATCTTATGAAGGGGTGATGTTTTGGGAAAATGTTTGTCGATTAATTTCAAGAAATCTCGGGCGACATTGGTTCGTACGTTTTTACTATACGGCGGGTTGAACCAGATAATTCTTCTTGTGCGTTTATGTTTCTCGTTTTGCGATCGACTTTCGGTTGTAGACGTTGTTTCAGCAGTTGAGTATTGAAGTTTGGTGTTGTAATTACTCTGCTTCAGGGCGTAGTCGTAAGCGGAAGCAACAGAATCAAAGTTTTTTTTGTCGGATGATAATGACGCGATTCTGCGGTTGATTGCTGCTGGGAGTTGTTTGGTGATTGATGGTGGATGGTTGGATTCTTTGTGAATGTACAGTGGGTCGTTATTTGGTTTTCTGTAGGGCTTGTATGACTCATTAGTAAGATTAAGCGTAACATCGAGGAAGTTAACAGTTTTGTAGTTTACCTCGGCAGTGATCTTCAGTCCCAATTCCTGGAATGCATAACACAGGTCTTTTCTTGCTTTATCTGCTAGTCGTGGACTGGTACCTTTGATCAAGGCTAATCCGTCATCTCTGTACAATCCGATGTTATTGCTGTCAATTCTCGCGCTTAGTTTGTTTAATGCATACAAACCAACAAGTTCGCAAATTTCCGCACCGTCAAAGCTGCCCATGGTGACGTCAAATGTTGTAGGACTGTTTCGTTTTATCCATGGTTTGGTGGAATTGAATAAAACGGATCTGCGGGCGTGTTTGATGATTGAAACATGTTTGTCAGTAATATTAACAATAGTTTTGGCCCAAGCGATGGCTTTATCGAGGAGTTCTTCATTGATGGAAGGGTAGTAGTCGATTTCACTTTATGAAATTATATATATGTATATATATATATATATATATATATATATATATATATATATATATATATATATATATATATATATATATATATATATATATATATATATATATATTCTTAAATGGCGAGACAAGAAGTGAAAAGAACTATTACGGACTACCTTCAAACAATAATGCACCACCACTGAGTGAATTAAAAACCTTTGATGACGACCTTGTGAAGCTGGTTCAGAACGTAACTTTTCGAAACATCAACGAACCATTCCTCAACAACATAAAAAATGATTTAAAAAATATGAATTCTTCAAAGAACGTGTACGTATTTGCAGACAAAACAAAGAACATCTACGAAGTTCCACCAACCGAATATAACAAAATATTAACTGAGAACATAACGAAATCTTATAAACTAGCACATGACCGGATAACCGACGATATTAACCAGGAACTGTGCGAAATTTCTTCCAACTTGAATATTGGTAACCGAGTCCACATAATGGCCGAAACTGAAGCTTTCATTACGCTGAAAGACCATAAGGACAACTTCGAATCGAACCCCAAATGCCGATTAATCAACCCAGCCAAAAGCGAACTTGGTAAAGTAAGCAAAGTTATACTGGATTCCATCAATCAAGAAATCAGATCAACCACCAACGCAAACCAATGGAGAAATTCCCAATCGGTAATCAACTGGTTCAAAGACATCGAACACAAATCTCAGTATAACTTTGTTTCTTTTGATAGCGTCGACTACTACCCTTCCATCAGTGAAGAACTCCTCGATAAAGCCATCGCTTGGGCCAAAACTATTGTTAATATTACTGACGAACATGTTTCAATCATCAAACACGCCCGCAGATCCGTTTTATTCAATTCCACCAAACCATGGATAAAACGAAACAGTCCTACAACATTTGACGTCACCATGGGAAGCTTTGACGGTGTGGAAATTTGCGAACTTGTTGGTTTGTATGCATTAAACAAACGAAGCGCGAGATTTGACAGCAATAACATCGGATTGTACAGAGATGACGGATTAGCCTTGATCAAAGGCACCAGTCCACGACTAGCAGATAAAGCAAGAAAAGACCTGTGTTCTGCATTCCAGGAATTGGGACTGAAGATCACTGCCGAGGTAAACTACAAAACTGTTAACTTCCTCTATGTTACGCTTAACCTTACTAATGAGTCATACAAGCCCTACAGAAAACCAAATAACGACCCACTGTACATTCACAAAGAATCCAACAATCCACCATCAATCACCAAACAACTTCCAGCAGCAATCAACCGCAGAATCGCGTCATTATCATCCGACAAAAAAAACCTTTGATTCTGTTGCTTCCACTTACGACTACGCCCTGAAGCAGAGTAATTACAACACCAAACTTCAATTCTCAGCTGCTGAAACAACGTCTACAACCGAAAGTCGATCGCAAAACGGGAAACATAAACGCACAAGAAGAATTATCTGGTTCAACCCGCCGTATAGTAAAAACGTACGAACCAATGTCGCCCGAGATTTCTTGAAATTAATCGACAAACATTTTCCCAAAACATCACCCCTTCATAAGATCTTCAACCGAAACACGATCATTGAAAAACTTTGTAACTGCAGAAATGTAAACGAATGCCCGCTTAACAACATGTGCTTGACGAAAGATTTAGTTTATCAAGCCGAGGTAAAAACGAAAGACAACAACGATATAAAATCCTACATTGGTATGACAGCGACAACATTTAAGGAGAGATACAGAAATCACAAGAAATCATTCAATGATATTAAATACGAGAATGAAACTGAACTTTCTAAACATGTTTGGAAACTAAACCTAAATAGAAAACAATTTAATATCAAGTGGTCCATCTTATCCCGAGCAAGTTCAATCAAAGCCGGTGGAAATAGTTGCAATTTATGTTTAGAAGAGAAATTGCAAATACTCCGTAGTTATAATTCACGGTCTAATTTAAATAAACGTAGCAAAATTTTCATGAAATGCGTGCATGCGCGCAGATTCCACGCGGGACGATTCAAACGAACACGCGTCAGCAAACATTGCGAGTAGTAAAACGCAACAACTTAACCGTATTAATATGTTGCCTGATGATTGCTTGTTGCATGAAACTTAAAGTAGCGACTTATTCAATTGAAAAATTGTATTAAAATATTAAATTATTATATATATATATATATATATATATATATATATATATATATATATATATATATATATATATATATATATATATATGTGTGTGTGTGTGTGTGTGTGTATATTATTGTTATTATTTACATGCAAAGGCCATTCCATTTAATAAGTGCACCCCCCCCCCTTATTGAGGGTTAGGGTTCGACACCCCTCTGGATATTTTATACTACCAGATTTTATGTTGCCTTGTAATTTTCAACCCCCTTGGTTTTTTTAACATTTTTTTGAACCTATTGAAGAGTTTTGCTTTCACCCCTCAAGATATAATGGGTATTTTGTAAAAAACCTGCTGCTTTCCCAAACCCCCATGTGTTTTACTTGGCTCTGCACAGTAGCCCCCTTTGGTATTGCATTCTTGAAAGCCCCTCCCCCTGGATATCCATGACCCTCAATATGCGGGGTGCGCTTATTAAATGAAATGGCCCAATACTCTCCCCCTTTGACAAGTACAATCATCTGACATTATACAGTAAAGAAGGCACAGTAGTAGGGTGCAGTATTTAAAAGCTGGTTAATTGCAGTGACCACGTGGATGCCCCTTCATTGGTTTTTTGCACTTTCTACAGTGTGGAGTTTTCTTTTTCTGTTTGGCTGCAGCTTCTGCTGCTGCTGCTTCGGCTGCTGCTTGTTTAATCTTTTCCTGTTGTTCTTGTTGCTCTGGCACTTTAAACATAGAATACAAATAAAATTTACATTGGAATTAAAGTATTAAACATTCAAAGTGTGAGACACCAGGCGGGTAATATTCTATAGTTATATAAATTACTTTGTATAATTTTCTTACATGGAGGGTGTAATAGTGTCTTCATGCTTCTTCGCTTCTTTTGCATGTCAATAGCTTCTTTTCTTGTCCGTCTGTTGGTGAATTGGGAAGTTAAAGACTCAGGCACTTTCTTGACATAGACATCTATGGTTTTTTGAAGTTCTTTCTTTTCTTTTGTAAACAAAATGTTTTTGATTTCATCAACATAACCTGAATAATGACAGTTCAAATAAACCCCAATAAGGACAGATAATTCTATTCAGCATTGCTAAGATTTGCCCATCGGCTCTAATTTAAATGCACCTACATTTTTTAGTTTATTCTGTCTGATGAGAAAGTGCTAAGTACTGTTAAGTAGTTTCTAGGAGAGATTTTTGCATATTCATGGGTAACAAGCAGTCACATAAATTTAATATTGAACTGTTATTTTATGGAATAATTGTATCTAAATAACATATTGTATTATCACTACTTACTATATGTAGGATGGATGGCAACTTCCCGGACAACCTCCTCACCGAGCTTAAACTTTGGGAACACAACATTATAATATGATGCACCACCAGCAGTCTTTCTCTTTTCTCGATTCAAGTTCTCATTAAAATGAAGAATTGCCAAAATATGTCTAAAAAGTGTTTAAAAAATGATAACTGTGATGAGATTCTTGGATGAACTTCCTGTATGATGAGGAAGAACTTTAACATTTTAAGCAAAGGTCCTTCATCAGAAACTTATGTAGTATGTACAGTAGTGAGTATAGTCACAGTTACGTGAAGAAACTCCTTGCACATGATGTACTGTATAGGCAGTGTGGTATACCTCAATTGATCTAAACTTACATCAACTGAAACAAACTTACTCACTTCCTGTAAGTTTATATTGTAGGTTTGTACTGTAAGTTTGTTTCAATTGACCATGAAAGCCATGGACGATATACCTGTAGTGCCATAAATATCTATTCTATTTGTGTAACTATACCTGCAGTATGTGCCTAGCCAAGAAAAATGTTGCATCTTAGGGTGCCAGTGGTTGAGGGTTAAGTGAAATCCTTCAAGGCAACTGGTTTGACCATCACAAGAAAGTTTCTTGATATCAGCCAATCTCTTTGTGTCCAACAAAATCATGGACAATCTGTCATGAGTTGATGTACCTGTCAACAATAATAGAAATTGAACTATAATGCTCAAGTAGTTTCACCTTACAGCTTTATTAAATACAAATGTTGGGGAGAGTAAAATACCGGTAGTAAAACTCATATATGCATGTACATCTGTGACCATTTGGGTTGTTACTGTACATTAATATATTGTTCTACTGTACATATTGTTATCACCAGGATAGGCATTTGGAACTAATACACACAGGCGAGGTACTGTAGGCCTAGTCATACTGTCATAAGGACATTTTGTGACAATGCAACACTTGCAAGACTAAGTACTTACCCTCGTGAGTCAAGTTAGATTTTTATTTCGTAAACTTACCCACTGGGATCCATGCTCGTGGCTCAACCTCACCATGTGCACATTCAGTATAAAGCTCATCAGGGTGATCTTTATGTTTGTTTGAAATGTGCCGAATCAATGACACCCATTTGGCAACAATCATTTCGCCAAAACCCTGTCTTGTAGAACGGCTGATAGCTTTCATCCAAAGTTGTATCGCCTCGTTTCCTTTTTCCTTGCTAGCATCAAACAACTTCTTCTTCAAACTCTTATTTACATGCCAAAGGTCATTGTAATGCTGTACATCGGGATGGGTTTCACGAATCCATTTAGCAACACCTAAGTGGCGATCACTGATAAAGGATGACACTTTCAAACCTTTTTCAGTGATAAATTTGAAGCATTGCTTGGCTCCATCCAACTCCATTGCATTGCTTGACCCTGACTGATTTGCCTGAAGTGCAACAAAACTAATCAGTTCTATGTAGACATGCGTTTCATCATGCCTAGTGTTGGACAGTTTTGTTCTGCAGTCTGGAGGGTTATGTGATTTTTAGGCTTTTATTAATTAATACATTAATTATTAAAAGCATAAACCATTGATAACACAAATAAGGTCTGCTCAGTTCTATAAACGTCACATTTCTTGGAAATGGGACATATTTATAATTAACACCACGACATGTCTGGGAATTAGTGATTAATTAAATTTCCAAGCCACAAGAGTTTGTGAATGTCACAAGGGCCCGAGAGACTTTCACAAACCTCCAAAGGCATGCAGGGACATTTAATCAATAATTTCTTGACATACAGTACCATGATTACCGAGGATATTTCCATTGTATAAAACTTTACTCGTGCATTTTAATATCCCATTAAGCTGGAGAGCCTCCCCATTGACGAGTAAAATCGTCTGGCATTAGACAAGTAAAATATAGGTAGGGTGCACTGGGGAGCATTGCGGCTCAAAGGGTTAACTAGAGACATTGTCAGATTTTTTGGTTAACCCATTAAGCTGCAGAGCTTCCCCATTGACGAGTAAAATCGTCTGGTGTTAGACAAGTAAACAAAAATAAGTGGGGGGCATTGCGGCTCAATGGGTTAATGAGGGTGAAACAGTAAATGACCTGGTGAGGACAAAAGAAACCAAGGTGATCATGGTATTATCTTAAAATTTTAAAAACTAGTAATGATTTGTACCGGTACCTGAAAGAGTTCAAAATGAACCAGTTTAGATATGGAGTTTGAGTACATGGTATAAACACCATACTTTGCACTATGGCCCATTGAGTCAAACCGACCATCGCCTGACCATGCTGGTTTCTCAATCTCTTTTAGTTCGCCAAGAAGAGAGGCCTGGTAAGTTTTCCAATGGCGCAACAGTGAAGGAAAATGAAACCTCTTCTGGTGGTAATAGTAGGTTCGAGGTGAAATAGCAGAGAGACCCATATGCTTGAACATAAGTAAGGTTTGGCTAATCTTTGCTCCTGACGCCATTATGCCAAAGCTCAACATAATATTTCCAGCAGGATGCTTTGTAAACATTGATGGCTGGCTTTTCCAACAGTAAACTTTCCCACAATGGTTGCATTTTTGGGTTACACTTGCCATTGTCCCTATTCTGTGTACTTCCACTGAAGGTTTGTCCCATTTGCAATGGAAACAAAAATGCTGGAATATGGCTACCAACATATTGTAAAAGATCACAAATTTGGGCTCATCACCAGGTTTTGTTCCTTCTGAAACCCTACAGAAAATATTTTTAAATAAATTCTCATTGAAATGATCACTATTGAATATTGATAAATAATGCAAGAATATTCTGTATTACCAATCACGAGTGACAAGTGTATTCGCATACAACTGGAATTTATTTGGTTTTAATTAAAGGCAATGTCAAGTTTGTATGTAAACAAATGTGATTTCATGATTTGTTTACACTTTGAGAACACTTTATTCTTAAAAACAGGTTGTACTGTTCTTAGTTAACATCTGACATCATTCTTATTGGTTGGGCTTTTAAATCAATATGAATGACAATTCAAATTGAAAATATGTAAAATATTGCAAAATATGGGCAATGTTTACATGTGGCGACCCACACAATAGCACATGCGCAGAACGGACTTGACCTTATCTTTAATTATAGACAAGCCAGCCATAAGGTATAGTTGGGTATTTACCTCACAAGATTTTTAGGCACAGTGTTGTTCTCATCATCACTTGCTGAAGAATCAACATCATCTTCCAAGTTGATCTCCCAGTCAACATCATCATCATCTGAAACATCGGTTTCTTCCAAGGAATCAAGAGTATCAGTTGTCCTTGTATCACTACAAACTTCAGAGTCTGAAACATCAGTTTCATCTTCATCATTTTCAACATTCTGAAAATAACAAACATTTAAAATGTTACAAACAATTTGGCTACTAATACCTATAAAATAAGCACTTTATGGATTTGCCATGCATGTGTTGATAAATTTGATTGTTCTATAATAATCATAACCTGCCACAACTCCTAGGTATAATATCTTAATAGAGTTTTGTTATTAATTGTTCTGCGCTGTAGATTAAACAATGCAGAACATAATCTATTTTATTGTACTGTATATAAATCGAAAATTTACCTGCCAGAAACATATGCAGCAAATTAAATGTAAACAAAGCAAGGGGTGTTTCTAAATGTAAACAAAACAAAACAAAGTGTTTCTAACCTTTTCAGTTCTGGAGATTAGTTCTTGTCGTCTCTTCGTCAGATAGCTTACTTTCTTCTGCAGCTTACCAACTTTCGCCTTTAATTTTGTACAATTATGACATTCAGGCTCATTTGGCAAAAATGGCTCCTGCGTGTTTTCAGATACATGTATATTTGACGAATATGCGATGTCCTCGATTTCGGTCACTTTTGAAGACGTGTACTCTCCTCTACAGGGTGTATAAAAAAAAGGAGACCTTTAGAAATCAAGCATATTGTTAAAATTTGAATGCCTTTTCAATTGCACATATGCTGAAACGTAGTGCGTGAAATATTGATGACGCATATATTAGAAAAAGGAGACCTTTAGAATTTGAAATAACGTTTAAACAAAAGATTGTCTGCTCCTGGGAACAATCTGCTATGTGCTTAGCAAAGTGCTCCAGGATTCAAATTATAACAATGGTTGATTTCTAAAGATCTCCTTTTTCTAATATATTGTTAAATATTTTCGTTAATTCTTAGTTAATTATGTAACCATGACGACATTGATCAGAGATAGAGACATTATTTGCATGCCAGAGATATAATCCGTGATATATATATATATATACCTAAATTGACAGATTTAGAGTTAGTGTGTGTGTGATGTGATGTGAGTGTGAGACAGTGAGGGATTGAGACTCGAGAGCCAAACTGGGCGGTGTGATTGCGAATATACTTTTTAATAAAACTACAAAAAGCTTGTGATTTGTGAATAGTGTTGCGACTACATACTTTATTTCCGACAGTAAGTGGCACCTCCGACGGGATTACGTACGTTTTAAACATGACTGAAGGAAGCGAGGATGTGAAACTAGTGGCAGATCTTAATGCCAAATTAAAACTGCTTAAATTTACACGGGACAAAACTGGCTCAATTACGACTGGTTCCATTATTACTGCTATGGAACGTCACCTTAAAGCGTTGAACACTGTGCTAGACGATGTAGATGGGCTGCGAAGAAATGTTTAACAGTCCAAATTCGAAAAGGGCGAAGAACCGGAGGCGGTTGCAGAATGGGGCGCAGAATTGGACGGGGAGATTGGGAAAACAGACGAAGCCATAACTGCACTCAAGAATGCCATCACTGAGGTAAGATCCAACCAAATAGGTAGAGATAGAGAGAAAGAGCATGCGTTAAAAGAAAAAGAACGCGAAGAACAATTATTGTTTGAAAAGCGCAAGTTTGAACTCAAATTAGAATACGAACAAAAACTTGATGAAACGCGGAAATCTCAAGGACAAGGTCACGCTCATGAATCGAAACCGCTAAAAACTCGTGTTAATTCTAAACTTCCAGAGCTAAAAATCACGAAATTTAACGGGAATGCGAGTAACTGGCTCACATTTTGGAACAAGTTTGAAGCGGAGATTGATAAGTCCGACCTTGCGCCAACCACAAAATTTGCGTACTTGAAAGAAATGCTAGAACCGAGTATACGCGCCTTTCACAATCGAGGGATACGATATGGTTTGCCTTTCACAATCGAGGGATACGAACGCGCCAAAACAATTTTGAACAGCGAATACGGCAGACCAAGCGAGATAGTTAACGCGTATACCCAAAATATTATGAATTTGCCAGTAATTACTGGATCCCAGCCGTCTAAAGTGCACGAATTTTACAAAACGCTATTGTTCAATGTACAGTCATTAGAGACCTTGGGTAAACTTCAAGACCTCAAGGGCAATGTGCGATCTGTCATTGATAAACTTAAAGCGATTAAATCTGATCTTGTAAGGGGCCAGAGTGGGTGGCAAGACTGGGATTTCCCTCAATTAGTTAAAGCACTCAAGATGTGGAACGACATAAATCCAATTGAGTCGAGCGATGACAGCAAGAAAAAGCTCCCTGGGGCATATTCACGCCATTTTGAGACACGCAATTATCCAGCTCGACCCGGGGGGTGTGTATACTGCCAAAGTGAAACCCACAAATCGATTGCCTGTGACCAGCTAACAAAAGTTGATGATCGTAGAAAACACCTCGCTAAGAACGGTCTCTGTTTCAATTGCACGCGAGGTCAACATCGTGCTGCAGGCTGTAAAAGTCGTTCTGCATGCCACAAATGCCAACGTAAGCACCACACGTCAATTTGTGATCAACGCGATAATCAACTTTTGGCAGCCTCTTGTAATGAGAACAGATCGGTATGCTACCCTGTTGTCGTTGTAGAGATAAATGGTATCAAATGCCGCGCGTTGTTAGACACTGCGGCGGGTAGCTCGTATGCGTCCAGTGCGTTAATTAACAGGTTAAACATTAAACCGGTGAAAGTGGAGAGACGCCATATCGAGATGATGATAGGTTCTGTCACCAAGAATATCGAACTATATCAGATACGCGTGAAAAGCCTCGAAAGTGATTTCTCTCTCGAAATGCAAGTCAGCAAAATCGATCGTGAGAAGCTTTTAGTATTGGAGAACCCGAGGTATGCCGAGATCATCGCCAAGTATAACCACTTGCGAGCCGTGGAGATGACTGACAAAGACGACAAAGCAGAGTTGCCCGTGCATCTGGTGATTGGAGCAAATGAGTATACAAAGATTAAAACTGAGACCTCGCCAAAGATCGGCCGCCAAGGAGAACCAATTGCAGAGAAGACCAAGTTTGGCTGGACGATAATGTCACCTGGCAAGGAAGTGAACTTGAACGAGATGTTCATGACCCAGACCTCCAGCGCAGACTACGAAAAGCTATGTCGTCTCGACGTTCTTGGTTTAGAAGACTCTCCAACTGGTGATCAAAACGAAGTTTACAAGGAGTTCCAAGAACAATTAAAACGAAGTTCAGAGAGATGGTACGAGACAACCTTACCATGGAAAGGAAATCACCCACCTCTTCCTAACAACAAATCGGGAAGTTTACGACGATTCAACAGCCTCGTGAGAAAGCTAGAAAGATCTGACCTTCTCGAGCGATACCACCAAGTGATTAAAGACCAACTCGACCAAGGAATTGTTGAACGTGCGAGCGAAGTTCCTCAGGGACGGGTGTTCTACATTCCTCACAAACCGGTTGTGAAGGAATCTGCCGAAAGCACCAAGCTGAGGATTGTGTACGACGCGTCCGCTCGTGCCAGTGAGAATTCGCCATCTTTGAACGAGTGCCTCAACCCAGGACCACCCCTGCAAAACCAGCTGTGGAATGTGTTGGTGAGAGCGCGATTTCACCCAGTTTTGATCACGGGAGACCTGAAACAAGCGTTCCTGCAAGTGCGAATCCATGAGAAAGATCGTGACGCACTCAGGTTCCATTGGTTTAAAGATCTGCAGACAAAGACTATCGAAGTCCTTCGATTCACTCGTGCGTTATTCGGGTTAGCTCCTTCGCCTTTCTTGCTTGGGGGAGTTATCCAGCAGCATTTGGAGAACTTTCGAACGGTCCATCCAGAGATTGTTAGTGAAATAGAGAAAAGTCTTTATGTCGACGATTTAATCAGCGGCTGTGAGAACGAGATCGAGGCAGAGCAACTAAAGAGCAAAGCAATCGAGATTTTCTCAGATGCAACCTTCGATCTGCACAAGTGGCACTCTAATGTTCGAGATTTAGAGTCACCCATTAAAGTCGGGGCAGAAGAGACGGAGACGTTTGCGAAGCAACAACTTGGGGTTCCAAACGGAGAACAAGCGAGTATTCTCGGTCTTTCGTGGAACAAAGAAGAGGATACTATTGGAATCAAGTTTCCATCGGGTGTAGCTGAGCCTACAAAGAGAGGGATTCTCGGAAAAGTCGCCAGAATCTACGATCCACTGGGACTAGTGGCTCCTATTACTCTTACTGGAAAGATGCTTTATCGCGAGGTGTGTGATGCCAAACTTGCATGGGACACCAAACTGCCGTACGAACTGTCGCGGAGATTAATGAAATGGGAAGAAAGCCTGCCAACCAGTGCCATGACCAAGCGACCGTTACCTTTACTACGCAAGAACATTACAGATATTCATCTGCATTCATTTGGTGACGCAAGCGGGAAAGGTGTAGCTGCCGCAGTTTACGCTGTCGTTTTCCAGCCGTCAGCCGTGAATCAAGGTTTAGTCGCAGCCAAAGCGAGGTTAGCGAAACAAGGTTTAACTATTCCTAGGTTAGAGCTTGTTTCCGGTCATATGGCAGTTAATCTTATCTCAAACGTGAAGGCAGCGCTCGAAGGTTTCAACGTGAGTCAACAACATTGCTGGCTTGATAGCAGTGTCGCGCTTCACTGGATTGCTGGAAATGGTAACTATAAGCAGTTTGTGGCAAACCGAGTTGCGAAGATCAAACAACATGGCGATGTGAAGTGGCGTTATATCAACACCGAAGAGAATCCTGCAGATCTCGCCAGTAGAGGAGGATCAGTTGACCAGAAAGATCTATGGTGGAAAGGACCAATTTGGTTGTCAGATAGTGCAAAGTGGCCAACCAACATCACAACGAGCACTTCGCCAGAGAGTCAAGCTGAAGAGAAGATCCTGAAAGAGTTACGAGACGTGATATTGGACGTAGAAGTGACCCTCAACAACCGTCCCCTTAGTTATGTCGAGGACAATATACAGTTCCCCATCCTAGCCCCCAATTCCCTTTTATATGGACGTTCCAATGTCTTACCCGAGTTAGAACCTCATCGAGTAGAATCCAAAGACCTTCGCAAGCGAGCCAAACATCTACGACGCTGCAAGGAAGCCGTATGGCGTAGATGGAAAAACGAGTACCTGAGAGGGCTACGTGAACGTCACAACCAGCAACATGGCAGCAAATCAAGTACACCGAAGGTCGGCGAAGTCGTGATTATCAAATCGGACGAGAGAAACCGTGGAAAGTGGAAGTTAGGGGTAGTCGAAACGGTGATAGTTGGAATCGATAATGTTGTACGAGGCGCGAAAGTACGAACAGGAAAGTCGGTAGTAGAAAGAGCGTTTCAACATCTTTTTCCGTTAGAATTGTCGTGTGACAAGACGGAAGTGACAGAACAAGCCACGCCAGCGAAGCTAAACGTGAAAGCACCTTAATTCCAACCAAGACCGAAGCGACAGGCTGCTGTTGAAGCCAAAGATCGGATCACTGCAGTTGGGATCGAAGAAGAAGAAGACTAGCATTGACAGATAAGATACAATATTTTTTGTATTATTCATATAGGACTGATTGTTTAGAAACATTTTAATCGTATAATTTAGTTATATAAAACTTTGGTATTTTTTTCATATAGGTAATAGGGTATAATCGTGGACACGAAATATATTAGAATTTTAGAACATTTGTCTCATTAGCGAAATGTGGGGGAGTGTGTTAAATATTTTCGTTAATTCTTAGTTAATTATGTAACCATGACGACATTGATTAGAGATAGAGACATTATTTGCATGCCAGAGATATAATCCGTGATATATATACCTAAATTGACAGATTTAGAGTTAGTGTGTGTGTGTGATGTGATACGAGTGTGAGACAGTGAGGGATTGAGACTCGAGAGCCAAACTGGGCGTGTGATTGCGAATATACTTTTTAATAAAACTACAAAAAGCTTGTGATTTGTGAATAGTGTTGCGACTACATACTTTATTTCCGACAATGCTAAATTATTTTAATAGTAGGTGACCCTAAGGTAATTACACTGGCCGGTAGGCAAAGTGTCTTAAATCCCTCTTTATCGCTTCCCTGCATATATTAAACCACCATCGGCAAACTGTTTGTCAGGTTGAGCTCGGTTTTCTGTGCTACTGAATATACTACAAAACCAGTCAAAGCCTTTATAGCATAATTATGGCTTATGTGCCCGGTTGATAGCACATAGCCACTTTATTGTTTTAATCAATTTTTAATAATTAACAAGAAAAATTATTAATTAATTACTATATGACATTTAGCACAGAATAGGTGGGGGTATTACTAACGCCCACTACACATAACATATCTATATAAGTTCAACATATAGCGTCCAACAACGGGAAGGAGGGTGGGTAAATCTCTTCCATCCAATTTCTTGATGTGAACTGCAGCCCTCATGGAATAGGAAAGGAAAGATGGCCCACTTCACCACTGATGAATACCGAAATGTCCAATCATGTGACTATACTTAAATTAACTTGTGCGCACAAATAACTTATTTCTCATAATTAATTTCAACTATAAGTTATTCTGGGAAGCAATAAAAACTCTTATCGCTGTGGCAATAAGTTCCTTTTTCTGTTTTTTTTTTCATAGTCGAGAAATTGAGTTTGCGTAATAGGTCATCGTAGGCTCAGGGAGCAACATGCTCCAGTGACATATTCAGTTCAGTTTCAGAATGGCGGCTTTTCACTGGGCGATCTAATATATATTTGATATTTCACACAGTTTCGTTGAATTTTCAAAGAATTGTGCCGGTTTCCTATGGATTTTACGTTGTGTCACACTCTGGCCTTTCTTGCGTGCTGAATTAGTGTGGTTTTCTTTGTGTAACGACTCGAAAACCCTAAAATTTGGACCCAGCGAATTTTTACAATACTTGTGGAATATAAACAAGGCCGGACAAGTTAAGGGTTTGACAGTATGACTTTTTAGTTAACAAGCGTTGTGCACTTGTATCATTCTCACAATTATAGATTTGCACCAACTTACTTTCCAATTAATTAGATATTATTGCCGAAATCAGTAAAGTGTTAACAGCACAACTTGGAATTCAAAACGCACAAAGCTGTTTGATCAATCGTTTTCAAAATTTGTTGAAGTCACGTGGCCAAAAGAGTTGATCATTTTGGTCACATGACTTTGTTGTTTTTCAATGCACGCATCATGACGTGTAGATATTTCTAGCTTTTGGCGCGTAATCTAAATTTTTACAGTTTACTGTAAATTGAATATGAATGCACAGGGCAGACGTTTCGTTAGAGGAAAGGCTTTACAAGACGACTTGCGATCAGTTATTGTCGAAACAATATTAATCAAAGGAGGTGACATTGCTATGGGTATTTCTCAAACTTTATTTAGAACAATGGGGCAAAGATACAAAGTTTCAAGTAACGTCGTTAAAACATATGGTTAAATTTTTGCCAGGCACGAAGATTAGGGCCTCAGCAACAAGCGATCGCGAATAAGACCCAACTTGAACCGCATGATCTCGAACTTATAAGCACTCTAAAGAAAGATTGGCAGTCTATGACGTACAATGAAAGAAAATTTAGAGCGATATACCACTACCAACCCGTCAGTGTCAGGTATTGGCCGGTCTGTGTGAAAACGGCTAACGGAAGGCAAAATGACATGGAAAAAAACGATCCGACCAGCTGCAGAAAAATTTACGCAAGCAAATCAGGGTACGAATTGACGGCTCGCACTTCGCAATTTGTGAAGCATCTGTACATTTTTGCGAAGCGAAATTGCTTGGCAAACGGGAAAATGCTAAGTAAAAAAATTGAAAATATATTGCATAAACATTATAACGAACATGAATATGAGAGAGCCGAACGCGCTGTTTTTGCTTTTAATTTGTTTGTCTGCTGTTTATATTGTTTTGACGAGGCTTTGCATGATTTTTGTTTTGTAGTCAGGTTGCAGTCATACGATCCCAATTTATGCTGTAATCAATCACGGTTAATATTAAGGGCGGCGAAATACTATACAAACCGGATGTTTACTTTGCGCCTAAAAGTAAAATGTTGCAGTTTGTCAAAATGCCAGTAATTGGCGCACGTTAATAGCTTTATTTTTGTCACATGGCTGGTCTTAAGACTGTGAAAAAGTGGGAGGAAAATCTTTCTTGCGATTTGGAAAAGGAAATAAATTGCGGCAAGGTTACAAAGCTGAAATGCAAAGTGTGCTGTAAGTACGAAAATAGAATAACGTCAATAAAAGGATTTTCTCGCAGTTGGATCGAAGGAACTGACTCGGTAAAGAAGGACAGTCTAACTAAGCATATAAATGGAGATCCCCACAAGTATGCAGTTGAACTTCAACAGAAAGAGGCTCTCGGAGCTGCATCGTTCAACCAAAACATTGTTGAAACCACCCCTATCGGACGCGGGTTAATAAAAATGACTGTGCAGGAACATGAACTGCTGAAAACCCGATTTAATACGGCGTATTATTTGTCTAAAAGTGAAAGACTGTGCAGTGATTTTGAAGGATTACTTCAATTGCAAGAGAAAAATGGTGCCAAATATAACACAAGTTATTGAAACGAACGTTCCGCTGCTAATTTTGTTGATACTTGTGGTCAAGTCATAAAGGATACTCTTCTTGAAGATCTGTTAAGTGCAAAATATTACTCTATTTTGATGGATGGTAGTAGAGACTCTAGTGTGACAGAGCAAGAGCTAATTTACATACTGTACTTAAGCAAAAACGGGATTCCAGAAGTAAAGTTCTTCAGCATTGAAAGCGTGAAGGCAGCTGATGCAGAAGGTCTTAAATCGTCACTGGAGGAAGCGTTTGAGTGTGTTGGAATTTCATGCTTTGCAAGTCGATTGCATGGTCTTAATGTTGACGGTGCAAGTGTCAATACAGGCATTCATCGTGGTCTTGGTGCAAGGATCAGAGAACTGGCACCGTGGTTGACTGTTGTCCATTGTTTTAATCATCGACTTGAATTGTCGGTTAAAGATGCTTTTAAAGGGACTTTTTTCGATGAAATAGACATGATGTTATTAAAACTATATTACTTGTACAAGAAAAGCTCTAAACGCACAAGGGAGCTCGAAGCCTTCGGGGAGATTTATGACAAAGTGATAACAAAGCCATGCAAATCGTCAGGAACTCGTTGGGTTGCACACAAGGTAAACGCTATGGAGATCGTTCTGCAGAACTATGGTATTTTCATGACTCACTTGGAATCCCTTTCCCAAACTGATTCTCAAGCACTCAAGCGTGCCGAGCTCGAAGGGTTTTTTAGGCACTAGCTTCAAGCGAAATACCCTCTACATTTGGCTATTTATCTTGATATTTTACAGCCAGTCCAAGTATTGAGCCTTGCAATGCAACAGGAATTACATGACCCTGTTGTACAAGTTAAGCATATTAATGAGTTTGGCTGGTCCATGTTAAAACTTAACGCTCTTCTCACAGAAAGCATTGATAAGAATACTTCTCGATTAACAAATTATACAAAGTTCTTGAAAGAAGTTACATGTGTAGAAGGATCCTACAAATATCAAGAAATTAAGTTACTTAATTTTGATGCAAGCTCAGAGAAAATAAAGAAGTCATACAGCGATGTTATCTCGTGCTTGACCGCGAAAATGAATGAGAGGTTTAAAGATCTCCAAAGCCATTCTGTCATTAAAGGTATAGCGATTCTTGACTGCAGTCGCTGGCCAAGAGACGACCTTAACCTATCTGTCTATGGCGAGAAAGAAATCGACGCATTAACCAAGCATTTCTCTTCCTTGCTGTCCAACAACGGTTGCGATATTGACAAAATTACGACTGAATGGGACTTGCTGAAATTGGAAGTTAACACTTTGATATCTGGTTGTTGTTCCATAAAGTACCTTGATGTTTGGCAACGAGTGTTCAGCTTACCGGATCGGAAATCCCTCGAAAATGTGTTGCATATAATTGAATTGCTGCTTATCACTCCCACAACAAATGCAAAGTTAGAAAGAATGTTTAGTCGTATGAGTCGGATGAAGAATGACTGGCGCAATCGGTTAACCCGTGAGCGTTTAGAACACAATCTTCGCATTGGAGAAGACGGTCCCTCCATCAAAAACTTTGATCCTGAGGAATCGATCAGGCATTGGTCAAATGAAAGGATACGAAGAGTCAAGGGTGCAAAACCACACAGGTATCCAAAGAAACGCAGAAAAACCGAAAGGTCGTCATCAGTAGATGTGGTTACTTATTGTATGTCAGACTTTGAAAGCGAGTCTTCTGATGAGGAATGACTTGGCTATGTATTCTAGCCTTTATATAATATACATTACTGTCTGTTGTATTTATTTAGACGGATGGAAACATTGTGGGGAAAAGGGAAGGATGACATCTAATTGGTCCGCGAGAAATTGCATTGACATAGCTAATAATAGTTTCACGTTTTAACAATATTAACAATGGGCGTAGCTAGCCTAGGAATGTAATCGCATTTCTGAAATTTTGACAGTTGACACGACAACACAACACGTATATTTCGGCCTTTCGGTCTTTATATTCTTCAATTGTTTCCTATTGTAAGTAATATTCAAATCAGTTTATATTTTACTTAGACTTCCTTGGGTACGCGCATATATGAGAAACGTTTACATAAAGGTTAAACGGGTTTTTAACGACAACGAAAAATTCGTTGTCTCAAGCGGGATTCGAACTCGTTCGAAACAATCAATTTCGTTGTACCCTGCAATGTCAGAATAATATGTAACTAGTTTTTCATACGGTATTTCTGAGGATGGTTTTGAAATAGGCAGCATTTATTTACCAAAATTGTTTTGACACCTTAATTCATACCCTGCAAATATAGAGTACTGCCAAATATTCATAAACTTCATGAATTCTTTAGATCCTCATCGGATTAAATTTTTTTATGAAACTGGTGTGCAATTTTCAGATTGTGCAAATCCATCTTACGGCCATTCGGTTAAGGGTACCAACATGAAGTGATGAGAAGGTTGAAAACGCGAAATTTAACAGCGAATGTATTCTGCGGAACAGCTGGCGTGATGTATGTGAGTCCCTCCATGCTGTCTCCAGCCTTGTTAGATTTGTACTATGTTTGAATTTAAAATCTTATTTGCTATTATATTTATTATGATAAGTGATGAAAATGTGAATCAAGTTTTTTTCGCAGATACATGTACGCATCGCGTACCTATTTTTGCACTTTTTTATGAAGCCAGTCAGGCTACTCAGTCAAATGGAAACCCAGTGCTAGAATATGGAGATTACATTGTTATGGATAATGCGGCCATCCATAGATTTGAAAGAGGAAAGGTTTTGGGAGAATGGTTGGACAGTTTTGCCATGACTTTAATTTACCTGCCTACATATTCTCCCGAGTTAAACCCTGTAGAACAGTTATTCAACAAACTAAAAACAATTCTACATCGCTATGAGTTTTGCAACATTCTGATGTACAACATTGATGTTGCTGTTTATAGGGCTTTAAGTGAGATAACTGTAAGCGATCTTAGAGGATTCTACAACCACGTTGAGTATATGAAAAGGGTATAATTAGAAAATATACGAAAAGAGTATAGATTTAACTATAATAGTTAATGGAGCATGTAGTTCTGATTAATATTACAGTATAAAATATATACAATTGTTTTATATATAATTTAAATATATACAATTGATTTAAAAAAAAGCTCAAAATATATCCCATTTTGTATATAAAACATAGGTTTTCGAGTGCCATGATTCTAAAATTTTATATTTTAGCATAGATTATATGTAGCGGCTGATTTTACTTCACTGCTATATATAGTTTGGATGAAAAAAGTATTAGCTATAAAATATAATACAACACATGTTTATGCTTTCATTATAATAATAATTAAACTTCAACAGGATATAGAGATACCATTATAACATATATTATTACAATTACATTACTACAGTACAGTATTTATAATTCAGACAGTTCGAATTGTTTATCTTTTAGTTTTAATATCAAATGAATGTATTAATATTTACAGTCAAAATACAAAAGTGTCTCGCTTCTGTAATGTAGTCTGTTGTGATTTTAATACTGGAATTTGTTATGTTTTCGGTAGCGGTTACTGATTTATCGGCAAATACTGCGATAAAATTAACATTTCACACTTTTTATGCAGCGAATCTAAAAGGAAAACGTGTCATTTGCAATAAATTAATGCGTTGAGAACAAAAATTAGATTTTAACACGGTGTTTGCCGATAAATCTGTAACCGCTACAGAACAGAACAAATCACAGTAAATCACAACAAAGGCTACATAAGCGGACACTTTTTGTATTTTGTACAACAGACTACATAAGCACACACTTTTTGTATTTGGACTGTAATACATGAAAACAAGAAAAACGAGAATTTTACTATTACACTGCAGTTGAGTTGGCTTGTTTACATTATGTTGGCAAGAAATTAATGCATAGAGAGGCTATTATTGGCCTATTGTATGTATTTTCTAAACTCGTTCTTTCAAATCTGCCTGCCAGAAAAACGTAAACATGGTAAGTCATCTACAGGATGTCCCATGAAAGAAACTAACAAATGTCCCAAAATAACACAACAATAACAAAACATTTCCTCTTTTACCAGTAAAATATTTAAATAGGTTCTAACAGTATCTGTCACATGTTACTTACATTGTCTTTGATCTGATTCAACAATATCAGCAGCATTTGCCAAAAGAGTAAGTGCGGTTTTATCTTCATACACAACACAATTTTTATCCAAATTTTGATTCAGATTTGACACACCTTTATTTCCATTCAGGTTTGGGACATTGTCCATATCATACACACCATAATTTCCATCGAAATTTATATCGTGATTAGAGATATTGCCCATACTATTAGACACATTACCGCCACCGGTAGACCCGGGCTGAAATTGATTGCTGTTGTATCTGTTTATATTGCTAGCAATAGAACTTATCGATTAAGTTTCAGCACCCACAGACATAGATCCGACTGATTGATTAGGAATTGTGAGACTATTGGCATTGCGGCTTACTGTGTGAGAACTTCCATAATTGTGTTGATAAACAAAAGGACTTTGGGAAGCTCCGTAATTTTGTTGATAAACAGAAGCAGATTGTGAAGACGAATTCCTCGACTAAGGAGTTCGAAGTCGAACAGGGCATGTCGAAAGGAACTGGTGCAATATTTTGGTGCGCACATTCAGTATCACATTCGGACCACTGCCAGGAAAAACAACTCCTTTCTTTTCCCACAGCTGTTTCACTAGTTTGTTGCTTTTGGTTGGCTTGGAATTTAAAGTATTTGGGCGTTCCAACTCTAAACAATCGTGTTCTTTGATCAAATCCTGAAAGTTTGTGTGTGCACCTGGCACTTTCCCACCTCATTCAATTTTTTTGGCATCACTGTTCAGCAGCATCCAGTTTATAATTTCTCAATCATTTGCGATTGAATATATTTTTTCTTGTTACTGTTTATTAAGTCAGAATGTATTAACTGTGAAAAAGTTCTTTTTGAACTCTTAATATTTTCCCTGTAAACTATCCAATTCATCTTTAAGCTTCTTTTCAGTATTTCTCAATGCTTGTAACTCAGATTTTGCATCTTTTATTTGCTTTTTTTCTTCTGGGTGTTTTCAAGCTTGTTAACAAGATGTGGAACATATAATTCACATGAAACATTTGCAACAAAACAACGTGCTAACGGACTGTCAACATGGATTTAGGGCAAACAGATCAACCAAAACCCAACTTATTGTAACCATACATGATCTGGCGAATACAATTCAATGTGGTGAGTCAACACATGTTGCAGTCTTGGAGTTTACGAAAGCTTTTGGCAAGGTACTCCATCAACGTCTTTTGAGGAAACTGTATTATTATGGAATTTGTGGAGAGCTACTTGATTGGTTCGAGTCTTTTCTTTCACAACGTTATCAGCCTGTTGTCTGTGAAGGCAAAGCATCTAGCCCCCTACTTGTGATGTCAGGAGTTCCCCAAGGGACAGTGCTTGGCCCGCTCCTATTTTTACTGTACATTAATGACTTGTCGGACAACTTACAGTCAACTGTGAAACTTTTTCTATGTCAAGTGTCACTGATATGATCAAAAATCTAAATTGGGAAAGTTTAGAAGTTAGAAGAAAGAAAGCTAGATTGACATTGTTGTACAAACTCTCTCAGAATCTTGTAGACGTTGAAACAAATAATTACTTGCTGGTAAATAATGAGACCAGGACTCGTGGCAGTCATAGCTATAAATATAGAGTCCCCAGAACTACCAAAGATGTTTGTAAATTCTCCTTTTTCGCTCGCACGATTAGGGAATGGAATTTACTTCCCGAAGAAATTGTGAGCAGAGAGAATCTCCTCCTCAAGGCTGTTTGCTGCGTCCTGATATCGTTCACTTTCATAGTGCATGTGGTGGAACTGAAAAATTTTTACGGGAACTAGCACTTTTGAACACGCTGAGTTCAAATCCGAAAAGTTCCCGCTCCGTAGGCCTTGCGTTTTCTCACAAACTGCTATTTTATTTTCTCTAATTTCACGACTAACTTTTTCTTTGTTCAATGACACAGATGGACGATGTCACACTCTTATGTCACTCAAAAGGACCAATTTCTATTAACTAGTCTTCCTTTTAACAAAAGACCGTTTCGCTCGAATCATTTTGAGTTCTGTAATCTTATGCGTGTTGGACGTAAACAACATATATTGTTTACAACTTTGGGAAGGTACAGATAACACTATCTAACATCCACAGTTCTAGCGATATCTCTATAAAATCACAAGGACGTTAGTGCTAAGTCTTTTGGCTATGTCACTGGCCTGGTAAATAACTCGCTTAACGCAATCATGGTATTTAAAACAACAGTAATGTGAAGCCAACGTAATGGCAAAGACAAAGCTAACATGAAATATTGTCGATGGGTTGCTGGTTGAAGACTTACGACAGGATCAATCATAAATAACCTTAAACTAGAAGAATAAATGTACACATTAAAGACAAAGAACAGTACAAAAGTATAAAATCTGCTCTGTAAACTTATGATGAAGTAGAGAAATGTGTCCATGAACTGTTTATTTGGTGATTTCAACGTATATGGAAGCCCTTTTCCCAATAATATTCGCTTATCGTGCAGAATGACACCAACTGATATAATAGTTCAAATGCAATGATAAGTTACCTCTTGAATTACGTCTCAGAAACTGTGTTGAAAATTTGAATGCTGACCCATTACATAAGATTACCATTTTACATCGCGGTATAA